AAAAGAAAGCTGGGCCTGCCATACCGAAAGCACCGCCCTTTTGCTACATGCTTGGGATGCTCCAGGAAACTACTTCTCCATCTGCTGGCACTTCTGACCCTGGGGAAAGAACAGATTACCCCATGAGTTGTGCTGATGTTATTGCCCCCGTGTAGCTGACTCCCCACGCTGCAGCTGGGGAAGAGGGTGAGGTGGTGGCAGTGGCCTCATGCTTCAGTCTGCCTTTTCTCACCACCTGCCAGAATTAGATTCACGTCATCCCCAGAAGAAAAAGGGCCTTATCATCCCTCTTCCAGCCTCCGGAGAGCTCTGCATCCACTCAGCACTTTGGGCATTTGCCCTGCCCTGGCCCGGGAGGGAGATGACTGCAGCCCCGATCAGCAGTGGGATACTGCGGTCTGCTCCGTACCCTCAAGCCGCTGTCAATCAGCCGTGAAACAGTTTGGAGCCGAATGGCTCTTTAATTGGCACACCTCAAGGACTCACACATCACCATCTATTTAAGATTTCATAAGGAGGAGTGTGAAAGGCTTAGACAGATGAGTGGGTATGATTTTACCTGATTCTTTCCCAAAAGGTTAGATGAACCACCTGCCTGTGTCCTAAGCTGTAAGCAGAAAAGAACATAATTAGGATGGAGTTTGAAGATACGTGCTCCTGTATCACTCCTCAAAATCCACAGCTTGAGGTTTTAAATAGCAAAAAATAGGAAAAGTACTCCTGGTCATACCTGAGGTTCATTGTTTTAATGTGTTCCAATGTAGATAAGGACTGAGCTAAGAAAAACACAGAGTTCAGGGAGATCTGGTTGTCATTAAGCCTACAGGAAGAAGAGATGAAATCAGCTGCTGCAAGCAAAACTACCAGCAATTTACACTGCGTCACCCGATAATAGCAATCCTTGTCCAACACTCCCAGAGACTGCTGCTTTGCCACCTTCTGCCTGTGTTTCCAACTACAGTTCTGCAAACACAATTCACTCCAGTATTTTTTAAATTCGTCCCTCACTTTTAGAGTTCAGAGAATCACAGAATAATTGAGACTGGAATGGACCTCTGGAGATGATCTAGTCAAACTCTCCTGCTCAGAGGAGGGTTAGACTAGAGCAGACTGCTCAGATATTGCCCAGCTGGGTTTTTAATATCTCCAAAGATGGGGATTCCACAATCTCTCAGGGCAACCTCATCTAGTGATGGACCATCCTCACCACACAAGTTTTTTCTTATGGTTAAATGGAATTCCTTGTATTTCAAGACACCGATGCAAGGCAAAAACAACTCTTTGACTGTAAGTGCAGTTGTGGTAGTACAAAACCCACACTAATTAAGATCATGCTCAGGTCTGCTAAGTCTATCATAGTATCTAGTGTGACCGTGGGCAGCGTGCTTGATGCTGGGAAAAAAAACCGGTTAAATAACAGCCATGTGTTTCATTGCACTGATGTGAAGAGAAGCTGCAGACTGTCAGTAACTGGAACAGTCTTGGCTTGAGAACAGTTCAATTAATCAAACAGGAAAAATAAGTATCTCTTTCAATAAAGCAGAATGGTGCTATACTCCCTAAGCCACAGTCCTGTACAGTGCACTTGCAATGGGAGTGCCAGGTAAAATACCCAGATAAACATAAGCCACCGTTGTGGCTGAATTCAGACTCTGCTCCTGAAGCCGGAGCTCCCCAGCATTTATCTTCCAAAGGTGCCCACCTCAGGAGAGGAAGGACTGCTCTCCTCTCCCAGGTGAGGAACTGGGAGAGGAAAAATTCAGTGGCCTGCTAAAGATCTCAGCGTGTTTTAGAAACCAGGTGCCACACCTGCACACAAGATCACCTGTCTCCTTCATGGAGGACTGAGTACAGAGCCTCTCAGGCGCTGATCTCAATCAAGCTTCAAGTGGAATCAATCTGTTCTGCACTAGAGATGGGGACGGACCAGACAGCACAGTGGATCTATCCTCAACGGACACAGAATATAACTGCACTTGATCCTGAAGAGCCCTTCCCAAATGTGGACTGTGCTTCCACAACCAACACTCCCACAAAAACCCACCCATGAGTAAGGGAAACAGGAGCTACTCACTTGAGAGAACTTAACATTTTCAAATTCGGGAGGAACTGAAACAGCTGCAAAAGTCCCTCGTCTCCCAGATAATTATTTGATAGGCTAGGATTTAAAGAAAGGCACTTAATTTTCATAGAAAAAAAACAATAGGCACAATCAGCTCTTAGTAACAAGCGCTCTGAAAGCAGAACACGGGCACTCTAATCCAAACAACACATGCACTGCCCCTCTCCACTGACAATTAAAGCCTACATGGAAACCAGAGACTGGAATTAACCAACATAAGACAGCCAGAAACCTAGCTCAGGGTTCATCCTTTTCTCATGTCCACCAGGTGACCCTCCTGGACTGACAGTGCTTTTTAATGCAGTTACCAGGAACCAGAAGTCCACAGCTCTGAGAAATGATCAACCTGGACAGGCGCAACAGAGGAGCCATGGGTGAGCCCTGGAGAAGGATATTAGGCTCTGATATTAGAGCCTAAGGATTACAATGGGCTATGGCCATGTGAGATCAAGGGACATGATTGCTTAAGAAGAGCAAAGGTTAAAAATCTCTTCCACAGGCTGCCAGGCCTAAGGGAATAGCCAGCCCTCAGGCGGTGGTACACAGACTACATGCTTGTGCTGGTCCTTGTTCTGTCCTCAAAACGTAGATGTGGCTGTGTGTGTTGGATAGGCTTTCCATCTGGGCTGGGTCTGCTCACCTCTTGGTGTTAGCAAACAGGATGACTCCCCACACACAGCGCTAACCGAAGAAAGTGCTTTGGTGCTGAAGGTCCTTGTACACCGTATGTGGGATCACCAGCAAAAACACAAGCACCCTCGTTTTAGGTGGGATTCTTCATGCTCTGCAGCTTTGCTTCCAAATGGCCCAAAGGCAAAAATGACAGGGCAAGGTTTTACAGCTTTTGTAATACCTCAAGTCAGGCTAAGTGATCAAACAGCCCCTTTCTGGATTTATGTCCTGCAACTTTTGCCCTAAGAGCACTAAAACCGTATGTCTCCTTGGAAAAGGATATTAGCCCATGTAAAGCTATGCCTTTCATAAGGCTATGTCTCTACCACATTCTCCGTACAACACTGCAGAACAAATAAGTGGCATTTTCTCAGTATCCCAAAGAACTGCAGATAAAGACCCTAAGAGTTAAGAAGGACTCACTCCAGCTCAGAGATGATGCTACATTCCTTCAGGACTGCATACAGCTTCTCCAGGTCACTGGCTTGAAAATGACTGTCTGTCAGTCTAGGGAGAAAGAGAAATCAATAGTCCAGATCTGCAGGATTGCAAACAAGATTGTGAACTTCACTCCTTCAGAAAACCAGAGAATAAATGAGGAGATAATAATGAAATAAAAAATCCCCTTGAAATATCTTGCTTTTATTTTTTTGTCTGCAACAACTGATAATCTGTACTTTCAGCTCTTGTCTGCAAACAGAGAATAAAGAGACAAGGTAAAGAAAACTTGTGGCACAACAGAGAACCAGGTCCCCAAGGTCCTGGTTAGAAGACTTTAAGCACAACTTCTTCCTTCCTCACTGCAGCCTACAAAACAGACGGGCGCACTCTGTGCTGGAGTAAGAGCATGATCTGATATGCATCTGAACATGGGACCAGCTTAGGATGCATTCCTCCAAATATCAGTAGAGAACCCTCAACATCACAAGCTCTGTCACCGCCAGCTCCCCTAACTCCCACATGGGAGCCGATGCAGTAACCGTACAATCACCACACCAATTCTGCGAATAAGATAGGCAGCCCACGATCTATTCTGATTCCTGCAGAAGACCACAGACGCTAACCACAGAGCTTCTAGTGGTGCAAGCTGGGACTGTGAACACAGAGATAAACGACTGACTGAAGGGGCCTTTACCAGCTCTCCCGTGATTCACCTTGGAGATGCAGGTTACATTAGCTATAGGATCCAGAGATAGAACATGCATGAAATACAATGAAAATCAGCCACGGTACCTTATTTTTTTTGAAGCAGTAGGTGTCTGGTTTTCCTCTCCATCCTTCTTATCAGTAGAGAACACAGGCTCTTCCCTAGTAAGTGAGCACAAAACCAGACAAGAGTAAAACACTTACACTTTAGCAATTTGGCAGGTCCTTGGGGCTACCCCGGCTCTAGCCCACACCCGTACCTTGCCAATAGCAAGCTTTTCTTTCTTTCAGTGATTAACCATATAATTGAGCATGCAGGCAACTGGGGATAAGGGGAAAAGGCAGATTTCTCATCTAAACTACAGTTTGATGGATAATTCAGCTTTTGCCTAAACATGTTTTGTGCAAGAGTCCAAGTCGGTGCAAAAACCTGACTATTCATAAATAAATGGAACATCCAAATCCTAAAATATCTGAGTTTGAAATGTCATCTGGTGCCTTAAAGAAGTCACAGATCATGTGTCTCAGGCTGTCGCTCTCTTTAAAGCATAGCAACAACCGGGTTGCATCCCATGATAGCCCTGCTGTTCCTCCCCAGATAAGAGGTGGAGGTGTACCATGGGCAATGCTATTTTACAAGGGCATAAATAAATGAACCTACAGCTCCAGAAGCAACAGGAAACCATTTCTCAAACAAAATATTTAGGTTGAGCTGGTTGGACCCATAATTTTCTGAGGGGAAAAATAAAACTCCAAATTTATTTTGATTTAGGAGTACCATGATCCAGAATGCATAGTGTAGTTAACTAGATGGTTTTAAACATGCAGGGATCTGTGAATCTTTTTGGAATTTGGTTTGGAGGTGGTGTGGGGTTCACTTGTTTTTTTACTGTTCACTACTATCAGATAGCTCAACTGTCATTAAACAGCCTGCTTTGCTTAGGATGCTGTGGGTTGAAATGTCCCCTAGAGAAATAAAGCATAATCAAACACTGTAGAAGGCAGTGGACAACTTCCAAACTGGCTAAGAAAACCAGGAGAAAGTACTACATTTAGATTCAGAGGGGAAGGGGGGCTAGAACTGTTGTGAGATGAAGTGTTACCCTTGGTACCTAAACAGGATGTAAGAACTAAATGAGATGCTGAGAAAACACCATTTGTGCACACACGCTCTACCTAGGAGGAAGGGAAGCAAACTCTCTGTCTTCTGTAAACCTCAGGACTGCAGTCTCATGACAAAGGCTGTGAAGAAGAGAAGGAATCAATCAATGTCACATTTTGGTTATTTACAGGACTTCTTGTTTTAAGAATGCTTGATTTTGCTCTACAAAACTCTTTGGTGACACCAATCACTTAAAACACTCCCAAAGCAAGCAAAAAATAATCTCCATTAGTTTTAAATCCTGGTTGATCAAACTATGCAATATCAGATGACCCAGTTTCTCTAAACCATTAGAGAAAGCGCAGACAAAATTGTTACAAAATTGAACTCCAGCGGGGGTCCAAGGGAAAGTAATAGGAGAGAACTTCCAGCTTCACTCCAGGAGATGTCACCAGTTCTCACACTCTGCATAGAGACCCTCTCTCCAAAACTTCCCAGGGCAGAGAGTGGGAACGAATCTAAAACTGCCCCCACGCATGAATGGACACACAGTTCTGTACCTTCTCAAATTCTGGTTGATGGCTCAGATAAAATCAGCTTACAGCAATGTATTACCAAGTGTCAGTGTTAGTAATCATCTTTGGACACGTTCTTCACCCGCCCCACTTCTGAGGTGACTCAACAGAAATCTCAGAACCTAACTCTCAGACTTGTATATTGGGATTAACCTGTGGAATGATTCAAGACCTACATACCTGACTTGTACCTCCATCATATTCTGGCAGGTATTTACCGACCTCAACAGACTGCAAATGCCATTAACAGAGAGGCAGTTTTGACTGAGACTAAGAAAGATAAAAAAAGCAATTAGCTGGTCACTGAAATCACACAGGACTGTCCTAGTGGAAGTGATCATCAGTGTGCTGCATGCTTGAACCCATTTCACTTCAGAAGTGGCATGGTGGAAAACACACAGGACCACTACTCCTGAGGAAGGGGTTTTAATGCAAGGGCACTTCAGCACTTCAGATGCATTTAGACCAGTTTCTGTGCATGATGATGCTCTGAGCAAGCAAGCAATTTCAGCCTGAACAGTCTCATGGGCTGAGTCTCATCCTTCCTTAAGAGTGCTCAGAGCTGCTTCTGTAGCACTGGTCTTGGTGAGGCCTTTGCCTCCTGGATCCCTGCCCAGCATCTCTGTACCATCCTTGCCAGGCTCAAGAAAAGAGGGCAAATTGGTTTTGTACAAGGCAACACTTACTCCAGCTGCTTTGAAATCGATATCCAAGGCAGGCTTTCCAGCAGACAACTGCAGCCTTCATCTCCAAGCTTGTTACCTGATAAACTGAGGCATTTTCCAGTTAGTGGGGACTGTTTTGAACAGTATAAACAACAAAGTCCTCAAAATCTGCTTGCTTTCCCTTTCCGACAAGCAAGCTTCCCTTGCTTTTTTGCCTGGACTGTTCTTCTGTCCCAGATCAATCTTCCCTGCTTATCTCTGTATGAAGTAACTTCAAAGACTTTTATCCCTAGGACAACATGATTCATGCTTTAGCCCCAAAAACATCTTACTTTAGAAAACCTAAGTGGGAGTACAAAACAAGAAACCAAATGAGTAAGTGTTTACTGTCCTCCTGGAAGGAAGAAAGGAAGGCAGAAAACACTGGATGACAAAGATCTCCAGATCCCAATTCAAATCAGTGAGCTAGAAAACTGGAGTTTAAGGTGTAGCTAAACTCAAGATACTGGACTGAACTGTCTTGGAACAGATATGCCTGCATTTTCCAGGGCAGACAGGCTAGAAGGAGAGCTTTACAGCCAAGTCCAGGTGGCCTCATATACAGGCAAATAAGGAAAGGTAGGGATGATACTCATTCAAATGTGCAGGTTATGAAATGGATCTCTTGTCTTCCTCCGCTCACTTCTCCCAACAGAGCTGAAAGGCTTTAGAAGACAAAAGGAACAATGCAGAAGCAATCTGCGTCGCTTCACTGGCTCAGAGGATTTGCTGGAGGAGTTGTGCCTCTGGGACAGCTCCATAGTGCCTCCAGCGCCCAGCACTGCTTCGTTAGCAGGGTCAGCTCTGCAACTGGTGTCTCTGGTTACAGTCTCAGGGAGCCAGAGGCTGCAGTTGT